CAACAACGAAATAGAAATTGAAGTGTCCCAAGGAAATCGTTCTAGAATGTCACAGGCATGTGATGTCAGCTACTACTAAGTCTTACAATTTATCATGGGATATATCTATTATATACTCTGGAGAAGCAGGAGAAAGGATAATAGAGTATTACCTATCGCTTATAAAAAAATGCTGGTGTAAGTTTAAAGTACACTAAAAACAACAAACCCCAAAACCTCATAATCTATTCCTATTCCAGACACAGAAGAATTAATCCAGTGTCTTGATTTGTTTGTAAATTCTTTAGGTAATTACCACCAAAATAGTGTTAGATTCAATTTTTGTAACTAGTAAACTGCTACACATATTTCAAGAGGAGGAAGGTCTTAAATGCACTAATAGGTTCTCAAAAGTCAAAGATATTTTGAAAACATGAATGGTTTGTTGAAGTTGGATGAAAACTTAAAATACAGGTATATTTTTAACTTTAAAGTATCTTAACTTTTTTTAGAATTTTAAATCCTAAAAACTTGAAGGAAGAACAAATATAAAAAAGTCTCAAATGTAACAAGAAAACTTGACAAGAGATAATGAAGTGTTTTCCTTTACCTGCTTTCTTTTCCTCCAATGAACTCATGGTCACTGAGTTCTGGGTATTGCACAACATTGACATGGACAGGATGCGCACTCTGAAGAAGCCTTCGCACGTCCTGTACCCTTAAATCTTCACTCCATATTAATGACATAACCTCATGATTCATGTCATTCATGCCATCATCTTCCTCCTCAGTTTCTGTTCCTGAAGGAACATCTGATGAGAGCACCTGAGTAACAGACTTTATTGTAATAATAATTTACAAGCAATCAACATGTACTTACTGAAGATGAGGAAATATAGGCTGATGTGCCATGTCTATACCAGTAGAAAGAAAATACATATTCCACAGCAGGGTTGGGGTGGTCTCAATATATACTGGCATGTTAACCTACAAATCTTTTGTAAAAGTACTATATTGCCTACATGGAAAGATTTATTATTGAACTGAGGGAAAAAGTTTAAATTTAGAACAACAGTCAAGAGGCTGAATATACTGAAAGAAACATTCAGAATAAATTATAAAAAGTCAAACTACATCCTAATCATTTAAAAAAATGAAACAGTCGGGCTCGGTGGCTCAACCTGTAATCCCGTGCCTTTGGGAGGCTGAGGTGAGTGGATTGCTTGAGCCCGCAGGTTTGAGACCCACCTGGGCAGCGAGACCTCATCTCTACAATAAATTAAAAAAAAAAAAAAAATCAGCCGGGCGTGGTAGCGCATGCCTGTAATTCCGGCTACTTGGAAGGCTGAGAGCCCAGCAGGTCGAGGCTGCGGTGGCCGGGAGCAGCCACTACACTCCAGTCTGGGCAACAGAGTGAGACTCCAACTCAAAAAAATAAAAATAAATAAAAAATAAAAAAATGAAACAGTATGGCATAGTGGCTCACACCAGTAATCCCAGCACTTTGGGAGGCAGAGGCGAGAGGACTGCCTGTGCCCAGGTGTTTGAGACCAGTCTGGGCAACTTGGCGAGACCTTGTCTTTACAATAAATCAAGAAAAATTAGCTAGGCATGGTGGTGCACAACTGTAGTTCCAGCTACTTGGGAGGCTAAGGCGGAAGGATCATGTGAACCCAGCAAGTCGAGGCTGCTGTTGCTGTGAGCGTGCCACTGCACTCCAGCCTGGATGATAAAGTGAGACTCTGACTCAAAATAAAATAAAATTAAAATTAAATAAAAATAAGAAACAAATTACTGCAAGTAGGATATGAACACCACTCACTATCATTAAAGAATAGATGCCAATTTAAGTATTAATAAATAAATATTAATAGAAGCAACAGAGCCGGGCTCGGTGGCTCAGCCTATAATCCCGTACCTTTGGGAGGCTGAGGTGAGTGGATTACCTGAGCCCGCGGGTTCGAGACCTGCCTGGGGCAGCAAGACCTCATCTCTACAATAAATCAAAAAATTAGCCGGGCGTGGTTGCGCACACCTGTAGTTCCAGCTACTTGGAAGGTTGAAGTGGAAGGATCACTGGAGCCCAGCAGGTTGACGCTGGGATGGACCTGAGTGTGCCACTGTACTTCAGCCTGGGCAACAGAGTAAGACTCCAACACACACACACACACACAAAATGCAGCCTCAAATAACTGAACAAACAATTTAGACAGAATTACATAAAATGACATTTAAATACAGATTAATGTTTAAAAGCTAATGGCGTTGAACTGCTCTTACTCAATGCTGAAGATGTTTCTTGGTCATGAAAAATGTAATGATATTATTAGCAAAAAAAAAATTGGTTTTGTTTAAAACAGGACAAACACACTAATTCAACTAAGAGTTGTTATTTAAAAGCAGATTAAACGAGAGGTGCTGGGAAGACACTGCTGAAGATTGGATCCCCATAGAAACTGATTCTGGCATGAGTCCACATTAGGCAACTCTGGGGTTAGGAGCAAGCTTTGATAAAGGCTCTGAAGAAGCAGTATTAGGCTGAGACCTACTGTTGCTTGTCAACAGTCACAATGTATTGATTATTATGTACTGATTCAAAAGCAACTAAGAGATGAGCCAGAGTCCCAATGTTCTCAGGTAGAGGAACATAGAAGGGTCACCAGGAATGGAATGCTCATTCCTGAATCCTCCTTGATGAGGTACTACTGTTTATTTGTAAAAGTTAACTAGAGTCCTAAAGTTTTAAAAGTTTCATTTTTAAGTTTTAAGAGAGGCTAATTTAAAAAGAGAGAACTGAAGAGTAATGAAATATTTCACTCTTTAATTTCCAGGCTTCTGAGACCCCATTCTAAAACCGAAACCAAAACCAACAAACAAAAAAAATTGAAAATTGACAAAAGACAGTACTTCAGGAGATATATTCTAAACAACTCTAGTGGAAAAAAAATCATTTCCTGAGGTTTCTGTTTTATGTGATTAAACAAATATATCTATACCTACTTAAAAGATTAAATTGGAGAAATTCAACACATCATAAAGTATGAAAGAGAAGCTAGATGCAGTGGCTGACGCCTGTAATACCAGCACATTTGGGAGGCTGGGGTGAGAGGATCACTTGAGGGCAAGAGCTCAATACCAGCCTGGGCAACATAGCGAGACCATGCCACAACAATAAATTTTTAAAAATTAGCCAGGCATGGTAGCCCATGCCTGTAGTCCCTGCTACTCAGGAGGCTGAGGCAGAAGGGTCACCTGAGCCCAGGAGGTCGAGGCTGCAGGGAACCATGATCATGTGACTGCACTCCAGCCTGGGTGACAGAATGAGATGGCAACTCAAAACTAAAATTTTTAAAAAAAATATAAAAGAAAAAAATGTGTATGTTAACTATCCAAATTTATGACACATGTACTCTCCCTTTTCCTACATAAATTATAAAGTAGTTAATTACTAATATGACACAAGTAGAGAAATAATCATGGTAGTTTCCATGACTAGTGACTCAAGAAAGGTCCAGGCAACATAAGAGTCACAAAATCTCCTGCTCCCACGTTCAATTCACAGTTGATAGGCTGTGTTCAATTATAAACCCCATCTGGCATATACTATAAAAGAAAAATTGATATGTACATTTGCAAAAGGACTTAAAGGAAAATAAAAAGAACATTCTATTTTGATCTTATTTGAGGCTAAAACTGAACTTTGAACTTTCTATGTTGATACTCACAGATTTCCCTTTGGGTAAGTTTCCTTCACACGCCTGCTTGGAAAGATCCTGACGACCAATCAAGAGACAGACAACTTCAAGCCAGTCTGAAGCAGGCTGCTTGCAGCAGTGATAAATTATATCTCTGATGGTAAAAGCAATTCCAAAGGGAAGAGTTTCCAAATCTCTTAAAGTGAATCCTTATGGTTAAAGGGAGAAAAAAACTTAATTTAGACTTGCCACTGTCCCAATTATCCTTTGAATAAAGTTAGTAAACATCTATCTTGACAAAAAAGAAAGAAATTCATTTTATTCTTCTTACTACCAAACTCAATGTCTTCACAACAGATTAGTATAAATGGTCTCTTTAGGCCAGGTGCAGTGGTTCACACGTATAATCCCAGAGCTTTGGGAGTCTGAGTCAAGATGATAACTTAAGGTCAGGAGTTTGAGACCAGCTTGAGCAATGTAGCCAGATCTCATCTCCACAAAAACAAA